ATTTATCAAAATTATATACTTTTTTTACTCTATTTACCTATTCTTTATCCTCATACTATTTACCTTTTATTTTATCACATTTGTTTGAAAAAAAATTTTATTTGACCAAATGAACAATTTATTTTTTCGATCTTGGCCAAATGACTACCAGAAGCGTCACGGGACTCGTCACGGGATTCTTCACGGGACTTATGTATTTGGAGATTTGATTAGTCATTGAAATGTATTACGTTATAAAAAAAGAGTAGCCTTATCTTGACCCCCGGTTTAGGATAGGGTTCGGATCTTAAATATTATTGGTTACCTCGTGATATATATTATCGCGAGAAATTTTTATATTTATTATCGGCTATATAAGTTTTAAGTAACTTTATTTTATATAAACGTAGATAATTCATTTAAATTTATTAACTGTTTGATTAATCTTATTTATTTACATAAAAAATAAAAACTATAAAATTATTCTTCGTGGACGTAATCACCAAAGGTACTATTATCCTCCATAATTTTTCTTGCTGCCTCAAGTGTAATACCACCTTTGTCATGAGAAATTAAACGTGATGTTAATATACACCCACCTTTGTCATGAGAAATTAAACGTGATGTTAATATACACAAGTGTAAAGAAAAAGACTATTGAGTATTTCAGTAATAATAATCATTCCTCGAGTTCCATAATATCCTGGCTGTAAATAATGAATTTCACAAAATGCTTCACGATTTCACTTGTAGGTTGACCATTTTGATTTGAAATTTTGCGTAATATATTCCAAATCTTTTTAGGTAATGGATCAGGTAAGATTTCCACACAAAATGGACAATGACTCTCTATAAAATATTTAAAATTTAAATAAATATTTTAAATTCAAAAATATTAAAATATATATTTATATATATACCTGTAGTTAATTCTTTTTCTCATTTTCTATAACAGAATTAAGATTTAAACTTATTTTTAGATTCAAATGATAACATCAATAAAATAAAGAGATATGCCTTTTTTTTTTTGTAATGCTTAAAAATTAATTTTTATATATAATTGGGAAAAGTTGTCCCTAAAATCCATTATATAAATCCTTCCGCTTCTGGCGAATAACGAATTAAATTTTAAAATTTAACCTTTAAATATATATAACCCATTTTTTTCGGTATGCTTTCTTTATAAGTACCGCATTAAATTTCTTGAAATTACTAGATTATAAATAACTTTAACGTTTAAAATGTATCTTGTAATAATATTTCTCTTATCTTTTGTTCCTGCAATCCATTCCTGGCTCACTTTGACACTCGGACTCGATCGGGATCCTGAACATAATCATAGTGCTTATGCAAAAGTTAGTGTTGGGGATAGATATCCTTATTTTTATGGTAATATCTTGAATTTTTATATTAAAGATTATGAGCCTTCCCCGCATCCATTTAAATTATATTTTGATGGATTTGTTTCTTCACGGAATTTTTATTTGTGAACTGTAATACTGAATTATGACACTAAAAAGAACTACGCAGAAATAAGCTATAATCCTTATAATAATTGTGCCCATTATGTTATTAAAAATGATGGGACTTTGTCTTTGAGTCAAACATTTCATGTTGTTATGAGTATAACAAATATAAAAAATACTGGCAATCAAATTGATGGGGATTTCCTTCCATCTGTTAAATTATGCATCTATTGTTAGATATGGCATGGAAAATGATGCTTTCCTTGAGGATAATAACATTCCAAAATTTATTGATAACTTTCTTGATATTCCTAAAAACGATCCAAATAGTTTTGAAAATTTTCTTGCCAGTGGCGGTGAACATGTTAATTTTCCGCCAAATGATATTACTTTAACACCGATGGGAAAAAGTACTAACGGACTCAGTATTAAATTTATATCAATATATAGCAATGCGAAATAAAGCAATTGATCTTGCACTTCAAGATCTATCAACTTCTAGTGCTAGAATGATCAATGATTTAACACCTATTAGAATAGAGAAGAGAGAAAAAGGATTTCTGTCAGTTGACATGTTTCAGATTGTTATTTGGACTGCTTTTATATTTTCCTCTGTTGAGTTTGGCACATTTGTCCCATATTTTGCTAGATCAGTTAAAATTAAAACAAATACTACTACTGTTGCTGCTTTAGCAATTTTAGCTAAACGGTTTGAAGGAAAAGATGAAATTGAAATTGACCAAACAATATTAAACAAAAATGTGGGTATATTGTAAGATTATTTGAAAGAATACACAATGAATCACTAGAAACTATGCTTGCCAATCGCGATAGTGCATATTATAATGGTAGTTATGATTTATTAGATAACTTCATAAATCCTATTAATCAGTGTGGACAAGATGTTGGTGACTGTGAAGAAAACAGGTTGGCAGCTATATTTCAACCCAATTTGAAACTTTTGCAAGTTACATAATTGACTATTATAATGGCGTTGTATGCTCTGATAAGAGTAGTCACTTTGCAAGTACAGTATATTGTGAACCATATAAAGGATGCCAATGTTCTTGTGTAGTTAATTCACCAATTTCTGGTTGTCAAAATAATTGTGTAATTGCTGGTAGACAAGCTAATAATGGAGGAGGATATTCTTGGAATGAACTTCAATATGTAAATAAATACATAGATCCAAACAGATTAAGTTTAACTACACATTTAAGGCTTTTTGATTGCCTATCAAATGATCTTTATTTTAACAAACAAGTTGCCAGGAGTATCATTCAAGTGCTTGTTTTGGGAATGGGTTAAAGCTGAATAGGATTCATGTGATGATTTTGGACTATCGCGGAAACGAAATCATATCATGTAACATAAACCATTTCTATAGGTTAAAATCTCGCATATATTCACTAACAAATATTACGGGTTTACCGATACTATTTTATCATTTTTAAATATTTATTCATGTTGTTTATTAGAAACTTAAGTATTTTATCCTGTGTAAGTCTTCTCTTAAAGTTCACGTAACTTAAAAAAAAAATCACAAAATACTGAAACTAAATATTTTTATCACTGTTAGTAAATCGGCATACCATTTACATAGATCTGATTCTCGCAACCAAGTTTTATATTCGCATTTATTATTTTTTTTCAATTGAAATTGAACTGTAAACAAGGTATTTAATGTCAAATTATTTTATTATTTTAAATTTCTAGATGTAAAATTTAATAATGTCTTTTTGATTTAGATTATTTGGATTATAAGAGTTAGAATAGATTATATGAAAATATAAATATATATGCGAGTTTTAAGTAATTCTATTAATAAATTATAATTATACATTTAAAAAGTAATTTTAATAAACATTAAACTTTATTAATTTTTGTGAATTACAATACATCATTAATAAATGGATTTAAAGATGCTTCTAAATTATTTATAAAAATTTTTGCTTGATTGGTGCCACCCATTTCTTCAATGTTCCAATATTTGTTATGCAGCCTTTCTGTTAATTCATTTAGTACATGTCGTCAATTTTCTACTTGTTTTTCTTCTTCTGTTTGTTCTGGTTTTTCTACAATAACCAACTCTCTTTTTTCATAAATTTCAAATCCATTTTCTTCAAATAATTCTTGAAATTTTCTCCAAGCATCATTAGTTAATAGTGGGGATCCATACATATGTTCATGAAATATATGTTTATATGGTAATAAATATCTATTGTGAAATAAACAATGGCACTCCATTGAAGTTAACCCTGGTACACATTTACCTTTTTCAATTCTATCTATCACTGCACAAGCTTCTTTGATAAGCATTTGTTGAATAAGAAAAGGAAATTGTGAATCTCTTCTAGTATTTCATTATCTACGCCATATACTGATATTTTTTTATCAAAAATTGAATGCAGTATTTTCTAAATTTGCATTTTTTTTTTTTTATCAATAGCAACAATTTTGTAAGATGCACCTATTAATTTATAAAAAATATGTAAATAAATTCAATTTTAAATATTTTAAATTTATAATTGTATTAAAATATATTATTAAAATATATACATACCAATTAAACCATGTAAAAAGATGTTGTTCTTTTTAATTCACTATGAAAAGATTCCAATGCATTTGTAGATGTAACTTGCAAAAGAAGAGGAGAATGTTGTCATGCCCAAAGAGCCCATTGATGAGAATTTTTCATACAATATCTCTTAATATAATTACAAATTGCAGATACAGAACATTGTTGCAATTCATTTTGAATAAATTGTTCACATCCAATTTTTGTTCTTTTATACATTGTACCCATCATTAGTTCTCTTGTTTTTTTTATCATAAATTTTTGACACCCATGTTCTCATAATATGAACTGTGCAAAAAATTATCTTACACTCTGGTTCATTTGCTTGAAGACCTGGAAATTTTTTTTTATACTGTTGGCTTCAATGTTACTTTGATTCATAAGAACATATGTGGGAAACCAATTTTTACAAATGTTTTTTATTATTTTTAATGCTTCTCCTATGGTATCACTATCTTCAGTGCTAACAAAAAAATGTATACCAATATCCTAACAACCATAATAATCTCAATTATATCTGTTAATTTTGTGTGTTGAATCAATTAAAGTTAGCCATCCATGAAAACTAAGTTTTTTAAGTTGTTCCAGATGTGTAAATACAAACCATTGGTAGATTTTTGCAAAATATAATAACGCTCACAATAATAATCTTCATTTTTTAAATATGATATAGTTTTTAATATATCAGATTCTAATTCGTTACTACCTACTAAATATATTTCCATAGGTCTATGTAATTTTTTATTTAATATTTGTAACTTCTCTATATTTAAATCTTTAACACTTTCACCAAGATGTAATTCATTATTTACATATTCTTTAACAGCCCTTACAATTGCTACTGGGAAATAATTTTTAACAGCTTCTTGCTTAACTATTGTTTTAACAGATTCAGAACGTTTGAGTCGATCACTTTCTATTAAAGCATGTGCGTGATCTGGAGAATTATTGTAATGTTCAATTTGAACTAACTAGTCAAATAATTTTAATTTTTGTAAGACAAAGACCAGATGGTTTAACCAATGTTGTTCTACGTTTATTATTTGGAATATCATCTTTTTGTGTACTTGACTTATGGTGTTTCGTAAAATAACATGTAAAAACCTTTCACAAATTACCATTGTTAAGTTTGAGAGAGTTATATTGTATCCAAACATTTGAAATTAAAGGTCACCATTATTATCAAAATCATCAGGAATTTCAAATGTATTTTTTATATTAAAAAAAAAAGAGCACGTTTTTCGTCTGGTGTAAGATAAGTAAATTTATTATTAAACATTGGCAAAAAGATTATTTTGTAAAAGAAAAAATAATAAAGCACTATAAAAATAAATATAAATAACTTTCGCAATCATATATATCAAAGTTTATTAGTAAATATATATGAGATTTTAACCAATAGAAATGGTTTATGTTACATGTGATATGATTTCATTTCTGTGATAATCTAAATTATCACATGAATTCTACTCTGCTTTAACCTACCCCTTGTTTGGTTATCTTGTATTTGATGGTAGCAATAATTGTGGTGAATGATAAATTTTTGTCAAATAAAAGAAGTTTTATATAATTTTGTCTGAATATATAGTACATTACATTTTAACCTATTTAACGTTTCAATTTTTGGTTACAGATCTTTATATAAAAAAATTTTTTATAATAAAATTAATGAGACCTGTTGTGTAACATTAGTTGTACAAATATTTCATTTAATCACTAAAATTATTTAATCATCTTAATATAGATTTTTACCTATTATTATTTCTTTTTTGGTAAAATCACAGTACAAAATATGTACCTTCATCCAATTGATGAGTATTGATAAGTTCTTAAGTTCAATCACTTGCCAACAATACTCTTTTTTAGAAAGATTTTTGTGATTCGAAATAAAAAAAAAAGGTCAAGAATTTATATATAATGGTAATGGTAATGGTAATGGTAATTGATTTTGCGTATCATAATACACTTTATATTAATACCATTTAGAAGAATAACCTTCACCTACCTACTCAAAGAATAGCAGGTGTTTATATAATTTCTGAAATTTTTAAAAATAGTAAAAAAAAATAATTTTTTTACTATTACTTATCCCTTAAATTGTCCTTTTTAGCAGGCAAATTTGCTTGTTAAAAAATTTAAAAAAAATTTGACCCAATAAAAAATTTTCTATTTAAAAGTTAACTTAAACTGACTAAAGTCAGATCACATGGAAATTATTAAGTCACATTATGGCATGTGAAGTGTGACTTACGAACTTGAGTTACATATGTTTCAGCCATGTGATACTTTAAGTGACAAACCCATTGGAAATTGTTCGAGAAGTTTATATTATAAACTTTATATCTAAACAAACAAAAATTATTATGCAATATGGGTATCCATTCATATTAAAATTTTATGTTATTAAAGAAATTGGACAAACTAAATTGATTATGCAATTTAAATATTAAGTTTATGTATTTACAATCACTTCTATTAATAAATAATAAATAAATTATGATCAAAAAAAAAATTATATTTTTATTAAAGATGAACTTACATATTTACAATTATTTTAATTACAATAATTTGATTTAAAAAAAAAAATTTTTTTTAATTCATTTAAGTTCTTTACTTTCAATACAAGAAACAATTAACTTTTTAATTTTGGATATGAAAATTGTGAAAACAATTTCAATTGTTGTTACAGTAGAGAAGCACATTACATGTTAAACACCAAATTGACTTTGATATGGCGTTTTATAATCCATATTGAATTTTTTTTTGCTTGCCAACCAAGTACACCATTGGTATGCTTCCCATTGCTCTTTTCACTCTGTCAAATGGTTTCCAGACACAAGTCGTTGATTCGAAAGTTGAAAGTTTTTTGTTACCTTTGACCATTTGATCTTCTTTTTTATTTTGTCTCTTGTTTCTCTCCTCAGACTAGCTCTTAATTGAACTTCTGCAGTATCGTTTGCAAGGTCAACAAGGTTTCAGACAATTTCATGGCAAAATCCCTTTTGTTCTTGTGTCGATCCTAGTGTCAGGACGATCTGATAGCTGTTAATTTATCAGGAAATTTTAAGAGACGAAAATTTCCGGAAAGTTTTCACTTCAAAAATTTCTACAAATTTTCAGTCAAATAAAAAAGTTTTTTATTATGTCTAAATATTGTCGAAATGTCCAAATATAATTCAGATTGTAGTGATTAGCAATTGTTGAATGAATTAACGAATTAACGGAGGTGATTTTTAACAATATTTAATTAGTAACAGTTAATTAGTAACAGTGTAGTGATCTTTAATGATTTTCGTTCCTTTACTAAATAAAACTTTAAGGAGGCGCACAAAGATTTTATCAATCTATATAATTTTTTTTTTTTTTTTTTTTTGCAAGATCGATTAATTTAATAATTTTCTTATAATGAATGAAACATCCCAAGATGGCTCAGAACCAGAAGGCATATTTTATTTTATTTTATTTTACTTTTCGACACATTTAAACTTTCGACACATATTTAGACTTTTGACAAATTTTTAGACTTTTGACATGCCTAAATGTCTAAAGTCGAAATATTTTGACAAGGGTGAAAACAATTTCGACTTTCAACTTTAGTTGCGATAATCATCAGCTTCATTTAAAAAAAATATTATATTGTATATGTCAAAAAAATATTATAGTACGTTTAACAACTCGGTGTTACAAATTAGTATTAGTCACACTCGATTGCTATTATGATATGCTACAAAATACGTCACAATCTTTTGACTTTAAAATGAAATAAGTAAATAAAAGTTAAACTTAGATGTCATAGGTAATATGTGAAAATAATAAAAAGTATATAAGTTAAGCCATCCCAAAGAAATAATAAAATTCAATAATAAAACGTAATATCTGTCAAATATTCAAGACCTTTTATGCACCTATTTATATAAAAAATAATATAAATTCAATAAATATAATATTAAAAATCATAATGATTTTGAAAAAAATATTACTTTGATTTTTCTTTGTGATAATTTGCCTAAAAATTGACTTTTTGGAATTTTTTGAACTTGATTCAAGTTCAGAATTTTCGAAATTATTTATTTATTTCAAAATAAATTAATTTAATAAAATTAATAAATTAATAAATAATTATAAATAAATATTATATATGTAATTCTTACTTGCGATTCATAATATCAAAATTATCATTTGAGAATTGACCTATAGAAATTATGTATTAATTTTTTATAACTTTAATTTAAAAAATTTATTATTATTAAATACCTGAATTAATAGATTCTAACATAGAGTCTAATGATACACTATAATATTTAGAATTTGGATGCTCGTATCCTGAATTATTTACAAATGGCTTTTTAGTGTTGATCATTTCAAGTCGTTTTTTTTCCGCTTCTTCATATTCCGGCCAAATATCATATATTTGTTCATATTTTGGGGGGTACTTCCCAGAGTAATAATTAATAAGATCAGAATAATTATTAATTCTAATAAATGATCCAAAAATTTCTTTTATTGTAGGTCGTCGAGAAGGATCAGAATGCCAACATCTTTTCATTAAATTTGCCCAACGTTCTGGTGTATCTCCAGTAATCTCTGGCCTTTTTCCATCTAAAATATCTAATATAAGAATTGGTCCATGTTCTCGATCATGAAATGGTTTATATCCCGTTGTTAATTCCCACATAATCATTCCTAAACTATAAATGTCAGATGCAAATGTATATGGTTCACCCTTAAAAAGTTCTGGCGCCATATAAGGAATTACTCCATACATTTGAGATTTCTTTAAATTTTTAGAATTAACATTTACTAGTTGACTAAAGCCTAAATCAGAAATTACAGCACCTTCATAATTTATAAGAATATTTCCACTATGTAAATCACGATGTATAATTCCCTTTTTGTGAAGTTCTTTAATTCCAGAAACAATTTCTTCAAATAATTCAAATTTTTTTATCCATTTTACTGCTTCAAAGTTTTTGCTTAAAAAATCATGTAAATTTCCATTTGGTGCATATTTTAAAATTAATGCATAATTTTTAGTTTTTGGATCTTGAGTTACTCCATAACATTTAATTATAAATTTTGATTTAAATTGATAGGTAAGTTTTAACTATAAAATTTAAATTGAATTTTGATATTTTATTCTAAAAATTTTTAAAATAATGAGCAAAAATATTGGATTACCTCATTTAAAAATTCCGTATCTACATTTTGGGAGTTATTTAAAACTTTCAAAACAACTTGCTGTTCATCCCATCCAGTAAGATTATTGAGATTGATTTTTACCCCCTTATAAATTTGACTAAAACCACCTTTTGCAATATATTCAACACTGTGAAAATTATCAAATGGAACCCATTCTAGTGGCATAGTAGTATTAGTATATGACTGTGTATTTTTGATAAAATGATCTATGTTTTTATTTCCACTGCTAACGTTTTCGATTATACATTGTCGACATACTCCGTTTTTAACATATGTTTCTTTGCCACAATCTCGACAAATGCGATAATCATCAGGTTGAAACATATTCAAATAATAATTTAGAAAAAAATTCGAACGTAATTATATTGCAAAAAAAATATTGTAATATTTATAAATAAATATATGGCTCTGCCACATTTTGTGCAATTCCAACTGAGTACAGGTATTGTGAGACAACAGACAGCTTGTTATATATATCGTTTATAATTTCCATGGAATTGCTTCAAAAAAACAGGTTATATTCTTTGACTTTAAACCAATTCTTTATATATTTATTAATTCAAACTAAAATAATACATAAATGGAATAAACGAGATAAAAAAGTAGTTCTCAAATGAAATTAAACAAAGATGTATGATAGCATCGAAACAAATGTAAGAAATAAAATGAAATAATAAAAATAAAAATAAAAATGATAAATTATAATAATATACAAGATATTTATTTAATTCTTCCCATTGAAATCATATATTAATTTAAAAATTATGATGATGGATAATGATTTACTAAGAGATTTTATCGTATAATTTAATGATATACTATAATATTTAGTATTGGGATGCTCACATCATGAATATTTTACAAATGGTTTATTGGATTTGATCATTTCCTTTCTTATTATACCAAGTATTATATTCCTTTGGATCAAATATTTCAACGTAAACATCAGTGGTTAACCAAAAATCGGTTCCTCTCAATGAAAAACAAATTTCTTCTATTGATGATCGTTTAAAAGGATTAGGGTGTCAACATCTTTTCATTAAATCTGCCCAAAATTCTGGTGTATCTTTTGTAATCTCTGGTCGTTTTCCATATAAAATTTCGGATAAAACAAATAAATTGAATTTTTAGTGCGATCAAATTATTATTTTTTTTTTTTCAGTTTATCATTATCCATTGTGATCATCCAATATTCATTGTTAACTTTGTGTCACATTAGATATATTTTATTGCTAATCCAATTTTTAGATTTATTATAATTTTTATATAAATAAAAAATTTTAAATTTTACCTTGATATAATGGAGAGAACCAATGTTATTCCGGAAAGAATGATTGAAATAGTTGTTAACGATCGTCTCGGTAAAAAAGTTCGAGTAAAATGCAAGTATGCATTAAACTTTTGTATTTTCATGTTTTCTTTCTTCTAATTAATCCTTTTTAATATATGTTTCTAATCATGTTTCTTTTATTAAACATATTTACTAATTTTTGAAGTCCAAAAGATACAATTGGACAATTGAAGGTGTTAATTTCAGCCCAAATAGGTACTGACGCTTCCAAGATTTCGTTACGGAAATGGTAAATCATTTTAATTATTTAAATATTATAATTATTATAATTGTTACAATTTATTATTTTGATTATTATTATTGTTATAAATTATTTCTATTTATAAATTTTTATATAAATTATTATTTAATTTTTATGAATTTATAATTTTTATAATTTATTTTATTAATAATTATTATTGTTTGTAATATTTATTAGGTATCAAAATTACAACAACAACCGCACATTGGAGGATTGTGAGTTTAAATTTATAATTCATTAACAATTAATCAATCTATTTATTATTAATTAAATTAATTATTATTTTATTTTAATTAATTAATTAATAAATTTAATTTAATAATAGATGAAATACATGATGGGATGAATTTAGAATTATATTATTCTTAATAAATGATAATCAATATGATAATAATTAGTTATGAATGAATAGTTGACGATTTATATAATAAAATCACATCAAATATGTCAAATAACTTATTTCAAAATTCAAAAAAGAATAAACTATGTATTTTCTTATAACAACCTAAAGAAAACATTTAAATATAATTTTAATAAATAATTTATATTTTAACAAATGAGAAAAGAACAATAATAAATGTAAATCTAGCTTTATTATTTAAATTCTTTACTTGAAAATTAAATCCATGCGATTTAAAAATAATTTTAATAATCAAAAAATAATGGTAATTAATAATTAAATAATAAATAAATAAATAAATAAATGAGAGTATTATAGATGCCAATTAGATTCTTTAAAAAATTGCCTTTATCTTAAAATTTCGATTATGAAATGGCCTTTTGAGTTCTAGCAAAAAAAATTCCTTGCGAAATTTTGATATAAACTACACCCTTACCCTAACCCTAAGGATTTGATTTTTCATTTTATAAAAAATTGGCATGTTACACACATTTTCAAATTAATACATACACTACGTGTAATTTTCTAAATAAATTGATAAATAATATTAATAATTAAAAAATAAATAAATGGATAAATAATAAATAATTAAAATAAATAATTAGATAGTAATAAAAATAGAAAAATATTTACCTCAACTTTATTAGGATTAGAAACAATAAACAGTTTTACCGGAAGTCTCAGGTAAGAATAAATTAATGATATATTTATTAACAACTATAAAGATCTTCAAATGTAATTATAATAAGTAATATTAATTAATATTTTATCGATCTAAGAATTCACAAGAGAATAATAATAATAATAACTGCAATAAAATCTCTATTAAAAGATGCATCCGAATTTTCTAATACTTAAAATACTAAAGATTGTCTCGACTATTTTTTAATTCGATAAAATTCGGCATCAATTTTAGTTCTTTTCTTTTAATAATAATAACAATAATAATAATAATAATAATAATGATAATAATAATAATAATGATTATAATAATAATTATAATTATAATTATATTAATAACTTACCACTTTTCGGATATTTCTTTACTATAAACAAATTAAATAAAAAAAAAAAATTAAAGAAAAAATTATATATGTAATGATAAATAATAATGATAAAACAAAGAACCTCTATATCAACAAGTTCATAAATGTCCCACTTCTGGATCCTTCAAATCCACCTCGATCAAATTCAATCTTCAAAAAATGTAATTAATAATTAATTAATAAATAAAGATAATAGATATTAAAAAAATAAAATAAAAAATACCATCTTTACAGCCAACATTTCTTGCAAAATTACAAACCTTATAGTGTCAGGTGAACGGCATAAATTAAAAGAAATAAAACCCAATAATTAATATTAAATAATATAATAAAAATAGTTAATATTAAATAAAATAATAATAATAAATATAAAAATAAATAATAATAATTCTGAATTATAAATAGAATGGTTGATTTTTTCATTTATTCAACCAACAAAAAAATAGACAATATTTGAAGATTTCCAAGTAAAGAATCAAATACATACAATGTATTAAAAATATTTAATATTGAGATTGATTATTGCGTAAATTAAATTGATTTAATAAATTTTAATAAATTTTAATAAATTTAGATGGGATACATTGCATTGAATGCAAATACAAAATACATTAAATATAATAATAATAATAATAATGCTACTATTCAATTTCAATTTCCTATCAAGTGTGAACAAAAATCATTAATGAATAATTTTTAATGTTCCATTTGGTAAAATCATACCAATATCACCAGTATGTAACCATCCATTCGAATCAATAACTTGAGAAGTTTTTGATGGCTGTTTATAATAACCTTTCATTACATTTAAACCTCTTACACAAATCTAAATTTAATTAAATAAAATTAAATAAAGATAAAATTAAATAAAGATAAAATTAAATAAAAATAAAATTAGATAAAAATAAATCAAATAAAAATAAAATAAAATAAAAATAAAATAAAAACAAAATCAAATTAAAATAAAATCAAATAAAAATAAAATTAAATAAATAAAAGTTAAATTAAAATAAAAAATAAAAAAAATAAAAAAAAAAATAAATAAAAAAATAATAAATAATAAATAAATAAATAAATAAATTACCTCTCCTCTAGGATTAGGAGTATCTTCTACAGTAAATCCTTTATCCACACAATCTATCAATTTAATTTCATTACATTGTAATGGACTTCCACAATGTGATTCCTCATCATCATCATTATCTGTTGTGTTCCTCAATTGATAATCATAAAATGCATTAGAAGTTACTATCCCACTACATTGAGTTAATACATACATTTGAATTACTTGACATCCAATAGTAATTCTTAGAAAGTCAAGAGTGGATTGAGGGATGGGAGGACCTTAATATTATTATTATGAATAATTATAGATTATTATTATAAATTATTGTAAGTTATATAAATAATAATAATAATATAATGATAGTGATCGATTAATTAATTACCTGATTTAATAAAAATGATTCTAACTCTTCCTCCTAATTTGTCTTTTACTTTATTAAAAATCAACATATCCCATAATGAATTCTTAATTAATTGTCCTTTCATCCTTAATGATTGATGCTTAGAGTTATAACCCTGTTTAAATAAAATTCCTTTTCCAAAAGTATTTAACATTGTTTCATGGAATTTGATTAATAATTCTGGTTCACTATTATTATTAAATATTAAATATTATTGTTATTAAATATATCATAATCATTATTATGTACGTTATTATTTATATACAGGTAAGATTTATATTATTGCTTAGATCCATGTAAAAAAAAAAAAAATATTAAAAGAATAATAATAATAAAGAAAATTTTAGTTGACAAAACGGAAACGTTTAATATAATTATTTATCTATTTATAACTCACCTTACAAAAATTGTTGGTTTTACATCTTCGGTATCTGACAACACATTTGATAATAGTCCACTATAAAATGCTATCGCTGACCCAGAAAATAATAATGCTGCTAAAGTGATTCTTTCAAAAATATGAGCTAATAAATAAATGTATAAAATAAGTTATAATTATGATAATAGTTATTATTCTCATCATTCATCATTATTATTCTCATCATTCATCATTATTATTGATTCATAATTGTTCGTCTTTGGTTATACTTACCAAGTGACAAATAAGATAAATGAATATCCTCAGAAGTAAGAATTTGTTGGTTGGGTATACTAGCAAGAAATCCGGCTATTAATATAGAAATAAATGAATTAATAAATAAATCAAATAATATTAAAAAATTAAATTAAATAAATTAAATAAATTAAATAATAAAATTAAAAAAATAAAAAATAAATAATATTAATAGAAATAAAAAAAAATAATAGTACGAACCTACATCAGCCACAATATTCTGTAAGAAAAATATAAATAAATATTCAAAGATAAACTTTCCAAATATAAATTAAATAAACATTCAAAATATATAAATGAATTTACTTACTCCATGTGTCAGTTCAATTCCATAAGATTGCTAAATAAATAAAATATAAATAAATAAATAATATAAATAAATAAATAAAATGAATAAAATAAATAAATAAAATAAATAAAATAAATAAAAAAATAAATATTAAAACGTACTTTAGATGATGGATCACTTGAGAACACTATTGTTGCTGTGTCCTCGGATGCTATAATTAAGATTATTATATAATTATTATTACAAAAATTATTTAAAAGTTATTAATTATTTATCATTAAAAAAAACTAAATTAAATTACCAGCAATAACGTGTTCGATCTTTGATTGTTTTCCGATCTCTTCAATCTCTTCAAAGGTAGATACTATTAATCCCAAAGAATTTATTCGTTCATGATATTCTTCACTTACTTCACCTTTCCCAGCGATTATTAAATATTTCAAACTAGGACAAGATGATGCAGCTGAAAGTATTATTGGTAAAGCTTCTTCAGCCACAATGCATCCTCGAATTTTAGTAAATTGGATTTGATTAATAACATCACCAAGAAATAGTGGAATGTGAGGTATTGCTACTGTCACTAAACTATAATAACTTGATGCTATTAAGAGAATTATATTTTAGAATCATTTTTTGATATTTTTGATAATAAGTAATTATTATAATTTAAAAATCATAAATTTCAAATTTCAAAAAAAAAATTCACCTAAATCTGCAATTACCCATTCTATAAAAAAATTATCAAATAATTAATAATAGTAATAATAATAATAATAATAATAATAATAATAACAATAACAATAATAATAATAATAATAACACATTACATTATTATTATTATTTTATTACCTGGTCGATTATTCATAAAAATTCCAAATAAATTATCAGATTTTGGTGTCAATTCCATAAATTTTATTAATCCAGAACCAAAATTTGTCACTCTTTCAGCAATTTTCTCTAATTATTTTTTTTTTAAAAAAAAATAATTCAATAAATAAATAATCAATCAATCAATCAATAAAATTAAAGAACTAATTTGAAATGATTTAATAAATAATATATATACCATATGTTTGCTTTATTATTAATATTTTAAATAAATTTTATTAATATTTATTTATTTAAAATAAATTTTTTATTAATAATTAATAAATAATTAAAATTTCTCATGTATTATTAAACATTATTATACATTTACCCAAACATATTTTCCTCCTTCACTTCTTTGTCCACTTCCCAAACATTTTCTTACACCTCCATCTTTCTTTAGTCCGCTATCGAATAAGTCTTTTATGGTTTTTATATCATTTTCAGGTTTACTTAATAACTGTGGAAATCCGTGAGGTGTATTAACGTTTCTATAAATAGCTGACTCGCCAGGATATCGAACTTTGGTTGTATCTGATTGTGAAGAAAGTAATATTGGATGAACATCGGGATTGGGTGCATTACGTATGAATAAATATGTAAAGAATATTATCAATGTTAAAAGAATAACGGAAAGTGTATCGATTTCCATTTTGTCAAGGGAGTTTGAGTAAAATTAATCAAATAAATCAAATAAATCAAATAAATAAAATTAAATCGATTTAAGATAAGATCACCATATATGTATGAGAGAAATAATCATCCGATATGTAATGTTGATCCCGATTTTTGTAAAAATTTTTTTATATCCAAGGGAGTCTTGCCCCAATAAACTTTTATTATTGTAAAGAATCAATTATTATAATTATTATTTGTTTATTTCTAACTTTTCTTTTAACTGATGTCCGATATACATTATAAGCCGATATCTGACGATCTTGATCGCTTCTTTTCTGCGTCTTCTGATAATTTTGGTCGCGTCTTTATTTTCAAGTTTCATATCAAATCATTAAAGTCTTTAACTGGTGATTTTAGATAGTTTCTTCACCACTTCACTAAAAAAAACACTGATATTTAAATGATCAAGTCAAAACGTGGAAGAAAGCCCAAAGTTGAATCTCAAGTTGAAGCAAAGACCTCTACTACTAGACATGGTCCTAAGCGACAATCTGTAACCAATGACGCGAATACTGCTAACTCAATTGGAACCAATAATGCAGATACTACAAAATACTCAACTTACTATAACCCTTCGAAGGGGCAGGAGCAAAGGAAAGATTAATGTAACAATCGAAGCACCTTTCAATTCTGAAACCAATAATGTCGGAACAAATGTAGACACTACAAATACTCAACCTACTATAACCCTTCGAAGGGGCAGGAGCAAAGGGAAGATTAATGTAACAAATGAAGCACCTACCAACATCAATTCTGAAGCTACATCAACTGAAAATCTTTCAACTGGCCATAGTGTCAAGAGAAAGTTGGAGATATCCCCAGTTATAGTGATAATGAAAAAAAAGATCTAAACATCTAGAAGGAAGAAGGCCAAGGGAATCACTAATGTAATAGCCGAAGGCTCATCAACTGAAAGAATAGCAAACAGTTATCTGATTTCAAATTAAACCTGAACCACACGATTTTTAAAAAATTTAAAATTATACATTTATTTTAAATTATGCACTAAATAGAGACTGCATCATTTTTTTAAGCAAAAACTTTGAAAATTAACATGGATAGAGAAAATTATATTTCAATAATAATTGTCTGTTAAATAGTAAAATTCAAAGAAATAATCAAGATCAGAAATTTGAATGGAAAACGACCAGAATTAAAAAATATACACCAGAATTTTGGCAGATTTAATGAAAAGATGTTGGCATTCTAATCCTCGATAGAAGAAATTGTTATTTATTGAGGGAACCGATTTTTGGTTAACTGCTGATGTCTACGTTTAAATATTTGATCAAGAGAATATAATCATCCTATGCTTAGAAAATCAGAATATAAAAGAAAGGAAATGATCAATCTCAAAAATACCTGTCCTAATTTGGAATTACACAAAATGTTAAAAATTCTAATGTAGAATTCTATTCCAAATTGGCAGAGTAATATATTTATTTATAACAAGCGGTCATGAACAGGGGGGCTTGTTTTATGGTATTTTTTTGGAAAAAACTGAATTCTGAACCAAATAGTTCCATATAACATGTTATTTGGACTTATTTACTAATTCAATTTTTACTTATATTTTGAATATTTGCTAAATTTATTACAATACTGAATTATAATAAATGATTTGTATTTTGTAATAAATATACATGTAAATAATAAATAAATGACTTGATATTAATTCAAATTTAAAATTATTATTCATGAATTCCACTAATTCTTTGCCTATATTCATAAATTCCTTTATCAAAGATATCTTTCAATCTTGTATATTAACTAACATTTGTTCATCAACTTTAATTGCAGATAAATCAAATGATGTAATGTTAAATGATTCCCATGATGGTAAATGACTCAAAGTAACATCTGCTTGACTAGAAGCAAACATGGATTCATCAATTGAAACTGTTGAATGAGGTAATGTCAATCCTTGTGTTTTATGCACAGTCAAAGCAAATGCATTTTATAATGGAAACTGTTCATGTTGTGCTGGTGACCCATAAATATTTAAATAAACTGTTTCTTTAATGACTTTTATACAAGAAATTCCTAAAGGAAATGTAACTATTACATTTTCTTCATCAAGAATTTCCAGTATAACTCCAATTGATTCATTACATAAACCATTAGAAAATAAATGATTATGTAAAACATAACTCTAGTTCCTGGTACTAAAGTTATTATTGATATAAATTTGTATATCTTCTAAATAATTTATCATCATCATCAGATGCACTAGTCAAAAATTTATAAATACTATACCTATCAGGTACAAGATAGGTGACAGATAAGTGGATTAGCTTTGCTAAATATCAGGACTATACATGTTTCCAAAATTGATTTCTGATTTTTGAGATATTTCATCTTTTTGACATTTACTCAGAATCTATTCTATATGTGGAAGTAAAAAAAATACCTAGTTAAGTATATCTTTAATCAAGGAATTTATTTGGGTAGTCAAAAAATTTTGAGTTTTAAGTAAATTAATTTTGTCTTCTATGAAAAACTATTTCAACTTTTTTCCTCAAAATTGCAATTTTGAAGCTCCAAAATAATTTCATGTGCAAGTATAATTGGAACCCAATATTCAACAAAACTAACCCACTTATCTGTCACCTATCTGGTACCTGATAGGTGTAACATTTATAAATTTTTGACCAGTGATGTCCATTCTTATCCATTCATATGATCAGTAGAATAAGAAATTAATGGTGTAAAATTTTCATTTTGTAATGGTAAAAAATTCACAATATAATTATTTATAGTATCTACAGTTTTACAATGTTCCACAATATTAATGGATTATTTTGAGATACAGATACTTTTGAGTTAAATAGATTAATTAATGATTGACTAAGATTGCCAACTCTTATTTCTTGAAGTACATTAAAGAATTCAGTATCATCTTGCTATCTATAAGTAGTTGTAAGAAAAAGTAGAAAAAAGTTTTTCCATACTGGTAAATAAAATACTTGAAAACCTTTGACTGGAGGTAATTGAGTAAAATCTTCCACTAATAAGAATAAAATTTTGTCATTAAAAAAAAAATTGTAATTTGGTTCACACAAATAATATACAAGCAAATTTAAATATAAGCATTTCAATACCTGGAAAACAATTTCTCTTAGTTGCTCGATGTCAGTTTTCTCAATCAAAACTACAGAAATAATTTATCAAATTTCTTAGAAAAAATATTTATGAGCATATTACATTAAAAAAAATGTAATTTGGTCCACATGAATAATATACAGTGGATGATCAAAAATCACTGGACAGTTAAAAATTTTTAAAAAAATTACTAAAATTAAAATGCTAATTGTACCACAACAAGTGATCAATTTGCACAAGCTTTTTTGGGCTATCATATAATAAATTTTGTGTTAAAATTGACAAAAAATATTAAATTTAATCTTTGAACGTTACCCATACCGGAATCGATGGATTTTAAAGATAAATATCAACTATCTTACATGAAATTGTTGCCAAGAGCAATTTCTACAACTTTAATTAGAAACACTTTTCATAGTATCTAGTAAAATTTTTGACTTTAATTAGACGTGAACGAATTTATTTATTTATTTATTTTAGCAAACTGGCACAATCTTATACAGTTTCCTATGAGTATTACAAAAAATATGGTGAAATTGCATTAATCTACCACTGTGTAAAATTAGATTTTACAATTAGTAGGTTTTAACTGCTACAGCCCCACTAATATCTATTCTTAATAAATTGAAAATAAACTTGTAAATTGAGGTATCTATCTGTAATAAGTAATCTATTGCTATATTTAGAATATTATCTTTGGATTTTTCTATTTGATTTTTTTGTTTTTTATAGATTTCTTTATTTTTTTCCTTATTTTTTGTTTTTATATTTGGGAATTCAATAAGTTTCCTTTTTATTTCTTTTAACTCATTTGTTTTTTGAATTTGATTATTTCATTCCAACCATAATTCATGGAGTTTTTTTGTTGTAGTCTGATATATTTTGAGGACTTTTTCTTTAGCTGTTTTCCTGTTTGATTCTGTTACTGCTACTATTTGATCAATTAGTTATTTAGGTATAAGTCCTCTTATTATATCGCTGAGGCTGAATTTTGAATCTCTTGCCATTTTCCATATATTTATTTTGTTTGGGTCAAAGGAGTATAATCTATTTTATTTTTTCCCTTATAAATTTTCTAATTTTATCATGATTGATATTAAGTTTTTTAAGGTGGTTTCTAATTGTATTAATCCATATCTGTTTGAAGTTTTCTTTGTTAGCTTGACGTGTAAAGACATGGAGTATTGATTCTTTTGTGTTTTACATCTTGGACAGTTTGAGTTTTGATATATTTCTTCTTTGAGATTATTTAGTCTTGAGTATGTTGGTAGTTCATTGCATATTATTCTTATTCTGAATGTTCTTAGACTTTGATCTGTGTTTGATGTTTCTCTATTTGTTAATTTTGAGTAGATTAAAGCTTCTTTTGTTGCATTCCAATCTACTATTTTTTCTATATTTCTATTGAAGGATTGAATAAATCTAAGTTGTGTTTTCCAGTTGATTAGATTTTGGATGTTAGTTATCATCAGGATTTATAAATTACAAAATAGAAATAATTCATCATCGTTCAACGTAATAATTTTTTATTTTAATAAGTAAATATCAAACACTGCAATAAGTGAATTGAAAGATAAGAGTAATGTGCATCTTTCATAAAAATTTCAGATCTATATTATCAAAACTGAGCAAATTACGAGCGGTTAATTTCGAACACGATAAATTATTTCCGTTTGAAATTTAATCATTCATAATTTGCTTAATTTTGATGATATAGGTCTGAAATTTTTATAGAAGATGTACATCATTCTTATCTTTTAAATCACTTATTGCAGTATTCGGCATTTACTTATTAAAATAAAACGTTATTACGTTGTAACGATGATAAATTATTTCCGTTTTGTAATTTATAAATCCTGATATATATGAATAAATCCGACCACCCACGCATTAATCCACATATATCCACATATTATAAATTTATCTGGATATATTCGCTTTATATCCAGATATATTTGCTCTCAAAAATTTCCTGATGTAGTATCATTTCTCATTAAATATCCTACGAATTTTCCAAATAATTTTCAAATATATCTGGAAATTTGAGAATAGAAAAAATTCAATATGCAAACAAATTTGCATAAATTCACAAATTTATCCAAATTTTTTCTAAATCAAAAAATATCCAGATATATTTGCTCCCAAAAATTTCCTGATGGGTAAATATATCTGGATATATTTGAGAATCAAAAAAATCTGAATATATGTAAATATATTTGTATAAATTTGTGAATTTATTTGGATTTTTTTTAAATCGAAAAATATCTAGATATATTTGTTCTGGATATTTGAGAATTGAAAAAATCTGAATATATGTGAATATATTCACATAAATTTGTGAATTTATCCAGATTTTTTCTAAACTGAAAAATATCCAGATATATTTGCTCCCAAAAATTTCCTGATGATCAGAACATGAGAAGGAGGAGGGATAATAATTTCAAAAGTTCCAGATATTTTTTATATATATAAATTTTTAGTATACATATTATATTTTTGAACATTATGAACATTTATTCATATTTTTGAACATTATAAACATTTATTATAATTTTGAACATTATAAATATTTATTAGTATATTATATTTTTTAGAT